AGAGTGAAACATCCAGCTGATAAGAAGAGAGGGCATATGTACAGGAACACCCACACTTGCAGATAATATCCACTTGACCTGGTTTCAATGACTGAATGATCAGAGCTCAACTAGAAGAAGAAAGAGGGGAAAAAAGAGTAATCTGATACAATTTGATGAACTTGACTTACACCTATGGATGGAGTAGCTCAAAAGAAGGAACAAATCTTTTCAGTGAGGATCATTCCCACCTCCTCCATACACAGAGTAGACAAGGATGGGCAACTTGGACATTGGCTAGCCAAAATGCGGGGTTGGGGTGGGGTGGGGACTACAAAGGCAAGAAGTGACTGGCTTACAAGCTTTCACAAGGGAGCCTAGATCCAGAGCGCATGGATGAAGGTAGAATCTCCACTGAGTGTATCCAATCTGTCTGGGTGGGGCTAATGAAAGGAGATGGGGAATGGTGAATAATCGTTATCAGGACTGACTGTGAGGGTTGGAAATGTAAAGGTGGATGTTTTGTAGCAAAAGGACGGGAGTGATTGACTTTGCAGTCCAGGAGCAGAGATCCCTGGAATCATCAAGGGAGAAGAGCGGAGTGCGAGACCCTACCCAGAGAAGCAGTAATGCCAGAGATGGAGGCAGAGATGATGACGTGAAGAGATGGAGCAGCTGGGGACTCTACACCCAGAGAGGGAGAGGGGCTGTGTGCTGACGACCAGGGGGCAGGCTTGTAGTGTATACCCTTTGGTTGGTTGATGATGCATGGAGGGGATTGTAACCATGGCAATGAAACGATATACAATAGGATGAATGTAAAGCTAATGTTCTCCCATGTAAACTATCACATAATTCATAATAAAACATTTAAAAAAAAAGAAAAAGAGAGGAACCTGTGCTTGTATATAGAAGATAGACTCTGGACCAATGCACAATGTGGTAGCCTTGGTTGTCCATAGGACAGAAACAGGGAAACAGGGAAGGGAGGCAGGCTTGGTTCCCTCTGTGCCCTTTCATATCTACTGGATTCCACACCATGCGCCTAATTTTTTCTCAAACAATAACCTTTTTTTCTCCGAGGCTTCCCGGCCCCCTACCTGGATGTCTTCTCCGCCTCCCAGCACTCGTCCTGGGTAGGCATAGCAGGAGTTGCCTCTGTGCCCTGCAGGCTGGTTCTGGCTTCCTCGGGCTCCACCTTCTCCCAGTCAGGGTCCACCTCCTCAAGGATGAGCTGGAGCTCGGGCTCCACTTGTCCTCCGGGGAGGATGCTAACTGCAGGGGACACAGGAGGAGTCAAGTGTAGGGCCAGGGGAAGAGTGGGACTAGGGGACCTTGGCCATCACCAGCCAGGCCTCTCTCGGCCAAGCAGTGGGGAAAGGCCCCTCTTCAGCAGAGCCCTGAACAGCTGCTACATTCGGGGTAAAATTTACAGTGATTCACCCTGTCTCCTCCTATTGTGTTCCCCCTAGTTTTCTTTATTACAGTTGATCGAGTTTTCTTCTAATAGGAGTCCCTTTAGGGAGTTTTGTACAGAAGTCAAACAAAGACGGGCCAGCTCAGGACCCCACTACAGTAAATTCTAATCACGGCATCTCAAGAGATGTCAAGGGACCCAGGCTGGGGGCTGCCTTGCCACATCCAGGTTCAGGATGGCCTGGATTGCCTCAAGGGTGTCAGAGAGCCTTGTTCACTGCCTGCTCTCTAGATGCCACCTCCTGGTAACAATACCGCGGACCCCTAATCTAAGAACTCACTTCTGGGAGTCCTTCTCTCCCTCCAGGACCTAGAAGTTCCACCGTCCAAGAGATTTTTAATTTCTTGGTAACTGTGATTCCAGCTTTGGATAGGAGCCTGTCATTTTCTACTTACAATGGAGTTCTGGTGTGGCGCTGGGGGCTAATGCACCAGACTTCAAAAGCCATTTGGATTGCAAGGTCAACAGTTCAAGCTCACCAGCTGCTCCTCGGAAACCCTATACAGGGTGGTTATGGGTCGGAACTGCCTCGACAGCACTAAACAACAACAACTTACAATAAAAACCCCACGAGGCTATGTTGGCAGATGTGGTAATGTCATGAGAAACCTCAGCCTACTCCCAGCTGGTTGTCAGGGAGGTGATGGGAGACTGTCCGAGTGTTCCTAAACAGCTCCAGGGGTCTTGGTGGCCCTCAAGCAGAGCATAAATCATTAAGTCTGACTTTAAATGGAGGCTGGCCTCAAACCTTATCCTGTGACCTGTCACTTTGGAAGCTATCATTTGTGGTACGGCATAATGATAGTAATGTTGTTGTTGTTGTTGTTGTTGTTAAGTACCATCGAGTCAGTTCCAAATCATTGTAAACCTCTATAGAGTTTCTGAGGAGCAGCTGGTGAGTCTGAACTGCCGACCTTGTAGCTCAAACTGACCTTTCAGTCCAGTGCTTATCCTACAGCACCACACCAGGACTCCAGCTGCATTCATTACACAAGTACTATATGCCCATCCTATGCTAAGTGGTTTACTTGCATTAACTTGGTGAATCTTCAGATCAACCCTATGAAGTGGGAACAACGACCCTCCCCATTTTGTTTTCCTTCTTTTGTCATTTTACTCCCCACTTTATTGTTGAGAACCTAATGCAGGTTTAGGGCCTTCTTTTATGGGATGTTTTCCAAGGACCAGGCACTGGGTCACATGCCTCCCAGGGAACAAGTGTCATCCCCCTTTCACAGAGGAGGACCCCACTCACCAGGGAAACCCCCAATGTGACCCTAACTAGCCCTTTCCACAGCCAGTCCTGGCTCAGCATGTGGCCCTGGGGTTTGACCAGCGAGGCACCTCCAGGTGTGACTCAGAATCCAGTGGCAGAACTCGGTGTGCCTGTTGCTACGTATGGCTGTCCAGCAATGGTGTGGCATCTTTACTCCAAACAGCCACTTGGGATGTAAGTCCCTGCCTAGGTCTAGCAGGGAACACCTGAGGGAGCAGAGCATCCCTTTGCCTGCTAGCTTTGACAGCCACCCTATAGGGTGAAAACATTGCTCTCCACATTGGATAGACCAGGGGCCAGATCAGAGAGGTCAATGACTTGTCTGAGACCATACAGGAAGTCAGAGGCAGGGCCAGGTTTCCTGACTCAAATTCCGGGCTCTCCACAGGGCGTAGCCTGTCCCTGGCATGCAATTCCAGGTGTCAGACCTGCCCTGTGAGCGTCTGACTGGCATCAGTGGCTAACCTATAATGAATTAAATACTGAGCCAGTGCTGGCTTCTGAGTCTTCCCTTCATGTTCATCTTTTCTTTTTTGGCACTGTTACGTGAGCGAGGACTTTACAAGTGCTGCCTCCTTCATCTTTTATACAAGCCTGCAGGGCGGGCCCTAGGCTGTGCCCACTTTATAGCCAATGACGCCTCAGATTAGAAAAGGGCCGTACTTGAGGTCCCCAGCCAGGATGGACAGGGATAGGGACTTTGCTCGCCCTCCCCACCCCCCAGCAGGCTTGGTGGAGAAGCTTCTCCTCACACCTCCTCCCACCCCCTCTAGGGCCAGGTCGTGACTGGGGTCTTCAAGGTCTCATGGGAACAGCTGTTCCATCGGAGCTTAAATTTTGCCCCTGGAACTTCTCAAGGGGTCCACATTTCCTAACCAATATCCTTTCTGCCAGCCTAGGATGACCTCAGGGCTATGGAATGAGGTGCTGACCCCAGCAGGGAAGGCCAGCAGACATCTGGAGAAGGAGTTGATTTCCAGGATCGGCACAGAACCCTTAGGTCAATATTCCCTTTTCTATTACTCCCTTCTTGGAATGTTACACTGCTACCCAGCTTGTTAGCAGTGAGGCAGCCTGTCATCAGCATTTCATGACAAGACTCTTCTGCAAAAAGTAAATTCAGGGTCAGTGCCTCCAGTTTGAACCAGATCCAGGAGCATACATAAGCCATCCAACAGTGTCTTTCAACTGACTGTGGACCCATGAATGTCTAGGAAGAACACATTATCTGACTCACTGACCTCCCTGGATCTGCTTTAGAAGTAAGGGGTGTACCTAGAGAACACCCATTTATGGTCAGAGGCAGTTTGGGGGCTGGGAGGGGCAGGAAGAAGTAGGAATCTCAGAAAGCGGAGGTTATAAAGACCCAGGTGCCCCCAATTCATGAAGCCTCGTGGTACTTTGGTCACAAGACCACAAGTTGCTCCTTGTCTGTTCGGGCAATAAAATCCCTTTTTGTTTCTTTTGCACCCCAGTGTTCACTTTATTCCAATTGGCTAATGAGGTAGAACAAGGACCTGAAGGTTGGGAGATGATAGGCAGGCAAGAAACCCTGGGACACAGGTGTGAGGCCAACACCCCCTCCAGAAAAGACAAACAACCTAAAACTTTTACAGTGGAGTAGATTCAGACTCGGGGTGACTGTGAGCAGGAATGCCTCAGAGGGTTTCCAGACTGCCGCATAGAACTGTCAACTTGTCAGTTAGCAGCTAAGCACTTAACCACTGTGCCACTAGGGCTACTCAAAGGTGGTGAGGGTGAGGGCAGTTCTGAGGATGGAACAAAAGGAGCAAATATCCGGAAAGGGCTCACAGGAAACTGGCTCTTTGTGTCAAAGACAAAGCAGGGGAGCCACTGAAGGTAGTTGAGCAGAAGAGTGACTTCACAAAGATTACTCTGGGCTGAGCAAGCATTGGAGGTGGGGAAAGCCTCTGGTAACTTCTCGTTGCACACTCAGGGCCCCCAAGTCCAGGCCTAGGATGGGACACCCTCATCCCTCGGCCTCTTCCTCGTCCTGACCCCAACCTCCTCCCACCTGGGTCCCAAACACTGTTCTCTCATTGTTGTTATTGTGTGTCATTGAGTTGTTTGGACTCATACCGACCCTGTAGAGGGTTTCCAAGATCAACTGGTGGTTTTGAACTGTCGACTTTGCAGTTATCAGTCCAATGCTGATCCTACAGCGCCAGAGCAGGACCCAATCTCTCATTAAATTCATTTTTTTCACAGTGTGATTCCAGTCCTGCACCCATTACCAGAGTCACCAGATAAGTGAGCGCTTCTTGAGACTGCAGATTCCCAGAGTCTTCCCATCAGAATGGGCTCCATGCAACGCAACCATCACTGGGTAAGCAGTGGTGTCATGGAATCATGGGCTTGATATATGAATTTATGCTTTTTCAATGATCATTAGAATGTTCTGTCCACTGGTGGTCTGGACCCCGAGGACAGGTCACATGGCCAGGCCCCAGGAGATTTTCCGGGGAATGGTGTCCAGAGGGAGTGCCAGCTGTGCCAGATCTGTCCTTCCAAAGAGCTCAGCATAAAATCTGCCATGGGGCCTTGCCACTGCCTTCCATCAGGGAAGTCCCCCTGCAATCTAGCCTAAATCTTTCACCTTGCCCTCCTAATGGAAAGTACCTGGTTGTGGTCTTTCAGACCCACCATGCGCCCTAGAGGTGGCTCTGGCCCCATACCCTCACCTCTGCCTGGAGGGTGCCCTCCCCTCCCCTGCAGGTCTTCTCTTCAGTGCACCCTCTTCTTCCGTCCATCCATCTGTCCATTTGTTTGTCCGTTCACACTCCCCCAGACTCCCTTCTCCCTTGTTTCAGAGGTCTTGAGCTGTCAACTCCCCTGAAACAAAAGGAGAAGACAGACAGGTGGGCGTGCAGATGGACAGATGGAGGGAATGAATGGATGAGGGGGTGAATGAGTGAATTTAGGAGGAGCTGGGGAAGAGCAGGGAGAAGAGGGGACACTCACCCACACCCTCAGCCACTGCGCTGCGTCTGCGCCCTGATGCCCGTGTTCCTGCAGAACCCACACAATGGCAGGAGCTGAGATTCCCTCTCCTTCAGGTGGAGTAGGGAGGAAGATGGGGGTCTCTGTGGTCACAGCCCCTCTAACCTTTGTCTGATTGAGCAACTACTGCCAGACTGGCCACCGTCCTTCCCCCTGGTAACTTGCTCTGTGACCAAGAGAACAGGGGGGCACTGCCCTGCAGCCTCCCAGGGTACCAAGAGCACTATGAGACAGAACACCTTGCTTTGAAGGCCAGTGGGCTGGCCACACCAAAGCTCTTCCTCCTCGTGGTCATTACAGTCACTCTGAGCTCATTACCTCCCACGGTGGGTCCAACATGAAATGAAGGAAGAGCTGATTCTGCCCTCAAGCCCTCCTCTCCTGGCCGCAGGGCTCTACTCTTCCCCAACCCCTCCATCATTGCTGCTGCCACAAGAGACGGCACAAACCTCCCCAGCCCAAAGGACGGAGTCTCACTGTCCCTGTTCCTGTCTCTGCTCTCCACACACCAGGGACCCTGCTTAGAAAAACCACTTGTCCTACTGCCAGGAGGAAGGTGGGAGCTCTCTTTGGGTGTCCCAGAAGGCACACACACACACACTCCGGGACAGCCCCACTGGCCATGCACACTCAGAGCAGAGGACACGAAGCAGGCCCACCGAGGCATCACTTACTGGTCTGCACTTCACACATCTCAGGAGTGTCAGGTCCCTACATGGGGAGAAAGAAAGAAAACCCATAACAGCTGCTCCAAAACCAGAAGACCCTCAACAGTACCCCACCCCGGCCTTGGACACCCTAGCTCTCTCTGTCTCTGTCTCTGTCTGTCTGTCTGTCTCTCTCTCACACACACACACACTCCTGGGTGCCTGGGAGACGCTTTTGTGTCAGACTCAGTTCTTCCCTCCTCCCCTTGCCTGCCCAGAGGCCACCTCTGCTCCAGCCACCTTGCTCCCAGCACCCTTGCTCCTCTAGGCTTTGCTCCCAGGATCTGAGAAGACTCCCCCTCGGCCCTGCATTAGCAGCTACTCCTCGAAGGCACCCCTCTAGCCCCACACCCTCCCTGCCCCATCCATCCCCTGTGGCCCTCCTCCCTCCATAGCCCTGTCACTAGGCCGTTCCTGGAGCAGGATTCTGAGCTGCTCTGTTTCTACCACCTGTGCACACTGAACAAACACAGGTCTGAAGACTCAGTCTGCAGGGAGGGGCCCCTGAAGCCCCTGCCTCCTCCCACTGCCACCCTCCCAACCCCCATCCTGGCCCAGACTTGGAAGAGGAGCAGGAGCCGGGAGCCCGGGTCTGGAGTCCATACATCTGAGTTCTGGCTCCAGCCATGTGACCCTGGTCCAGCCTGCTGGGTCTCAGTTGTCTCATGAAAGGGGGAAGAGGGTCCTGTGGTGCCCAGACCCAATGAGGGAATTAATGGTGGGTGAATGTGGGGACTTTGGGAGCCTAAGTCTTAGGTGAGGAGAGGTGGGGTGCTCCAGAGAGCCACACGAGGGACACCTGCTCAGAGGAGCCTGGTCAGGACTTTTGTCACTCAGGGGACATGACTCTCCTGTGTCCTGGGCCTGGATATCTTCATCTTTTCCTTCATTCTCACAACCCTGGGCCCATGGCTCAGGTGGGGAAACTGAGGTCCAAAAGGGCCAGGGCCAGGGCCAGGACCAAGGTCACATAGTCAGAATGAAAACCTAGGCTTCTCACCTCCCACTCCAGGTTTGTCTGTGAAGACTCCCAGCAGTCCCCAGGGGAAAAGGGCAGACCCAAGGCACAATGTCAGATCCCTGGATTCTTGGAAGCTCCTTTCTTTTCTAGAACATTCAGGTCTCTCTTGCCTCTGGATTTTCTACAGACTGATCCTCTCTCTCTGCCTAAAGGGCATTCCTACACCATTCCCTTTACTCTTAATCTCTTCCTTCTTGCCCTCTTTCAGGTTGGAGGTCACTTCCACTGAGAAGCCCTCATTGATGCCCCTGGAGGTTCCTCTGAGCTCCACATCCTCTCTGCTTTCCCCATCCAAGAAGCAGGTGAATGGTGCTAGACCAGCCATCCCTGGCCCTGTGTTCTCAGTGCCTCAGAGAACGTGAGGGATGAACGCATGAGAAGCAGACCAGAGGCCAGGTGGGCTCAGCTCCGCTGACAGGCTCCCTCCTTCCTGCTGTGCACCAACCCAGGGCTCACAAGCTGACCAACCCCCTCACCTAGCTCCCAAGAGCAGTCCCACCATCACCACACCCCAGGTCACTGACCTGCTCCCCAGTCGTTCCGTGGATCACCGGCTGTGGTAGCGCCTTCTCCAGCCTTTGCAGGACCCATGCCACCAACCTGCGGTGAGAGAAGGTGAGGAAACTGGGGCCAGAGACTGATCCCTCCCAGGCCAACAACAAGCCTGCCAGAAGCCGACCAGAACCCACGTCTCCAGCCTGGAAGTCTAGTGGCACCCTCACCAGGCAAGCCTCTAACTGCTACTGGGAGCATTTGTAATATGTACCCCTGGTTTGGTGGTGGTGGTGTTAACCCATAGCAACCCTGTATAGGGTTTCCTAGGAGTGGCTAGTGAGCTTGAACTGGTGACCTTGCCGTTCAAACAGGCATTGCAGGTAGGCTTAACTCAGATTTACCTTGATCCCTAATATTTTATGAATGAACACGGCTAGGGTCAAGGAACTCATGTAAATTGCCAGATTTTGGCTCAGCTAGTAAAGCAATCATTCAAAATTCATTACCAGATTTGAAAACCTTTCAGTATATTGAAATCCTAAATGATGAAAGGGCTTGGAAAGAGATGATCAGCAATTAATTGTAGGTCATTTAAAAACAGCTACCATATGATGTTTTCAATAACCTCATATGTATGCGAAAGCTGGACAGTGAATAAGGAAGACTGTAAAAGAATTAATGCCTTTGAGTTATGGTGTTGGAAGAGAATATTGAAAGTGCCATGGGCTGCCAAAAGAACCAATAGATCCGTTTGGAAGAAGTGCAACCAGAAGCTCCTTACAGGCCAAGATGGCCAAACTTCGTCTCTTATACTTCGAGCATATTGTCAGGAGAGACCAGTCACTGGAGAAGGGTATCATGTTTGGTAAGGTGGAGGGTCAGAGAAAAAGAGGAAGACCCCCAGGGAGATGGATTGGCCAAGTGGCAGCATCGATGGACTCAAGCATGGCAACAGTAGTGAGGTTGTTCCAGGATTGGGCAGTGTTTCGTTCTGCTGTGCAAGGGTCGCTATGGGTCGGTACCGAGTAAATGGCACCTAATAACAACTGGTAACCTCTATGTGTCATTTTACTTTTCCTTCTTATTTTCATCCATTTTAGCTGGTGACTTTGAGTTAAGCAGATACTACATGATATGCTGTTAACAATGGCAGAGGTGTTAAGTCAGTGCCACAAACGATTATCGAAGAGCATATAAACTAAAAAGAAATCAAAGGAAACGAACAACCAAAAACAGACATTGCAGTCCAGCACATTAACCCACAGCACCACACCAGGACTCCTACCCCCGGTGATGCCTTGGATTAAACATTGTACTACTAACTAAAAGGTTGGCAGTTCAAACCCACTAGCTGCTCCTTGGGAGAAAGATGAGGCGCTGTCTGTTCCCATAAAGATTTACTGTCTCTGAAACCCTAAGGAGCAGTCTAACCGGGTCACTATGAGTGGAATCCACTGGATGGTAGTGACTTTAGATGACTGTCTCAATTGTGGAGTCCCTGGTATAAACTGTTAATGCTCTTAGCTGCTGACCAAAATGTTAGAAGTTAGAGCTTACCCAGAGGCCTAGCAATCTACTACCAAGAAATCAGTCATCGAAAACCCTAAGGGTTGCAGTTCTGCTCTGACACACATGAGGTCGCCATGAGTCAGAAGGGACTTGACCCCAACTGGTTTACATTCCAATTACAAGTTGGCCCTACAACTCCATTTTCGGTGATTGTCCTACAGATCTTCTTGTACATCAGCTAAATGATTCTTGGGAAAGGTTATTGATTGGAGCAAAGGAGTGAAAACAAACTAGATTTCACCAAATGGTTAAATCAAAGCTGACCCAGCCATACAATAGAATACTATGCAGATACTGAAAGAATGAAGTCTATCTGTAAGTCTGAAATGAAACCATCTCTAAGACACATTTCTAAGCGAAGAAAGCAAGGGCAGGACGGTGCCAATAGCTTGCAACTCTCCAGTGCCGTGTTTAAAGGAGAAACATATGTTTGTCTATGTGTTGTTGTTGTTGTTGTTAAGTGCCGTCGAGTCGATTCCGACCCATAGCGACCCTGTACAGGGTTTCCGAGGGTGTAAATCTTTACGGGAGTAGAAAGCCTCATCTTTCTCCCGCGGAGCAGCTGGTAGTTTCGAACCGCTGACCTTAAGGTTTGCAGCCCGATTCGTAACCACTACGCTACCAGAGCTCCTTTGTCTGTGTGTAGAGAACTAGAAAGACCAAGAGGCTGCTAATGCACTTGTCCTAGGGACAGGTCTCTAACACTACGTGCACTTCTGCCAGGTACATGTGTTACTTCTGTAGATTAAAAACTTGAAGGCTGGGTATTGTTTAGGGTAGCTGAACCTGTTCTTGGTGGGAAGCATGGCATTCAGGTGGTTTACCTGCCTGGGTCCCCTGCTGGAAGCAGGGAGGAGGCCTGAACACCAGGCTGGGGCTCTAAAGCTGGCTCCTTCTCGGGTTCCAGGGGACTGGGGGTAGGTGCAGAGGGGTTCTCCTGGGCCTGAAGCGTAGGTTCCATATCCAAGGAGGCTCCTGGGGGCTCTTTAGCAGCAGGGAGAGGAAGAGGTGAACAATTTCACAGTATAACTCCATGGAACCCCTCAAAGGCACAGAAGGCTGGATCAGAGGGGCCAACACCGTTGATTAGGGAGCCCCTTGGGACCAACCACTCTCATCATCAGACAGATGTGGAAACTGAGGCCCAGGGAGGGGAAGACGTCACAAATCTGTCCCAGGTCCATGTGAAATTGTTCCCGTGCCCTAAGAATCTGCCCCTAGGAAGCCCCCGATGCTTCCCTAGCCCAGGTGAGAGTCCCCCAGACTCCAGTTTCTCCCCCAACCTAGTCCAAGATCCTCCCAGGGTCCCCTCCCTGTACCTGGGTCCAGGACAATGCCTGCAGGCTCAGCTCTCCAGCCCTGGGTCATAAAACAGGAGTCAGGCCATATATGGGAGTGAGCCCTGGGCTCTCCTGCCCTGGCAGCTGGGTCCTGGCTGTGACCCCCACCCCACAGTGGGTCCTAGGGCTAGTGACAGCCTTCTGGGGTAGGCAGGTCCTTCCTGGGGCCCCAACTGCCTGCTCCCTCTCCTCAACTCACCTTGGAGGTTTTGGGGAGCTGAGGCAACACTTTCTCCAGATTCTGCTCGAGCCAGCTGAGCAGCCAGAGCCTGGGCCTGTGGAGGGGCTGGTAGTCAGCCGAGTGACCTGGAGGAGGCGGTCCTCCCATCCTCCCTGAAGGGGGCCAGGGCTGGCTCACCCCTTTCTCACTCTGGCACCCATTCTGCACAGTGGGGCCAGGTACTGGATGTGCAAGGCCCCCAGGTGATGGGGGAGCTTAGACCAGCCTCAAATTCTAACCCAGGGCTTGACCAGGCTTTAGAACAACAGGTCCAGCCTCAGCCTCCTGGGCAGCTGGTGGGGTGGGAGCTGTGTAGTCATGCAAGACCCACACTTAGAGGGGCTCCGACTTTGTTTACTCCTCTTTTGTCACAGTCCTGAAATTCTTAATAACTTTTTTGCAATAACTTTTTAACGAGAGGCCTGAGCCCCATAAATCATGTTGCTGGTCCCAGGAATAGATGTTGGATGTTAGTCGCATCTGGCCTCTGGGAGCTACACCCACTTCAGGTCAAGCTCAAAAGAAAGCTGGGAGGTCCTTTGGGTACCCTCACCCTAAATTGCTTGAAAGGCCCCAAGAGTCAACTGAGAAGCCTTGAGGGCCTCCAGAAAGCAAGAGAAACAGAGTAACCAGAGCAAAGCATGAGTACCTCATTGTATGTATTCATTCATGCTGGCATTAGCTCCTCCCTAACTTGCTGGCCTCTCACTTTATGGCAGGCACTCACTGGTGACCAACACAAAGGCCCTGTCCTCAAGGAGCAAGCAGTCTGATGAATGAATGAGTGAAGGAATGAATGGAGGTAAGTGTTTGACCCTGAACTTCCAGCAAAGATTGTCAACGGAGCCTTAGGGCTTGTGTCCTGGAAACTGCAATTATCTGGCAACATGTTAAAAATGAAGGACTCTATGTAAAAGAAAAAAGAAAGAAAGAAAAAAGGGAGTCCTGGTGTGGCACTGTGGGTTAATGTGCTGGACTGCAAGGTCAGTTTGAACCAGAAGGTCGACGGTTCAAACATACCAGTTGCTCCTCGGAAACCCTATACAGGGTCACTATTGGGTCAGAACTCATTTGACAGCACTTAACAACAATGTAAAAACCTAAACCTACATTTCTAATTTCTTTTAAAAAACTGGAGGGTTTGTCCACCCAGATTGGCCTTCCTAAACTATCCCCCCATCCTCTGCCCCCGTACCCCCAGCAGGACACATGCTCCCCAGTTTGCCTCAGTTCCACCTTGCCTGCCACCCTCTGGCCAGACAGCCACCCCACTCCTCCAGCTTTATGAATACAGATGCTATTGCCATGTGTGAGGTCAGCCCAGGCACCCCCACAGGGGTCTGCGTCCTGCCTCAGGGCTCCACACAGAACCCACCTTCATTCTCAGAAGATGGCTGCCACCAAGACCTCCCATAACCAGCACCATAAACAATGGGCAGGTCGGAGCTCATCGTTCCATTTTATGGATGACAAATAGAGAAGTCTAAAATAGGCAATAGGCAAGTCCAAGGTCACACACTGAGGTAGCAGTAGACTCTGTTTCTGAATCCAAACTGTCGGCCCTGGGCACACTCCTCCTCCCACACGTACTACAGACAAGGCTCGGGGACTCCCAAACCGGTGCTCGATGATGGAGACTTACCCAGTGTCCAGGCCCTCACTAGGTCCATCTGCACACTCTCCTGTAGGGTTAGAAAATTAAGGTGGTCAGCAGCAATAGCCTGACAAAGACCCCAACCAACCTGGAGTAGGCAGCAAAAGTCCAGTACAAACCCAGACTTCTCAGGGGCTGGGTCCACCCCAACAGCACCATCATTCCTCACCCCTGAAAACCATCCTGCCTCCTCTGGTCTTACCTGGATCCCCCATGCTGCAGCACTCAAGGATCTGTACTCTACCCTGCAGGGACAGACAGACAGAAGGACAATGGACAGGCACTAAGGGCCCCTCCCTGACCTGACTCCTTCTCTGCCCCCAGTACCTGAGCCTGGTCCTTCACGCCAGGAGTGATGTTCCGAGCTGCCCCACCACTATGGATGGGCTGTGGGACAACCTTCTCCATGCCCTTCCTGAGCCAGGTCAGCATCCAGCCGCTGGGACTGCGATGGACAGAGAGACATCACCTACCTCAACCTCCCCTCTCCCTCCCTGGTCCGAGTCCACAGAATCCTAAACAACTGAATTTGAATCCCAGTCCATCTCCACTGTGACACCTCAGACATGTCACCTCCCCTCTGAACCTTGTGTCCCTGTCTGGAAAATGTGGGCATCAACTCCTGTGGTCCGGTCTGAGTGGCACCATTCAAAGTCCTTCCCATAGCTGTGCAAGTTGCAGACAACCCCAGGAGGGGTGGCCTTCCTTCTGCTCTGAGGGGAGCAGTGTGTCTGTTAAGCAAAGTGAAGAGGTAGGTGGCAGGGAGGGAAGAATGAATGCATGGTGGAAGGGGAGAGATCCGTGCCCTCCCACTTGAGGACAGGAAGCGAGATTGCCTGACCACCAGCCTCGCACTCACTCTAATTTCAAGAAGACTGGAAATGACGTCTCCTTCATATGGACCCTGTGTCCAAGATGCAAGAGATGGGGAAGAGCACCCAGATTTAGATGGTGTGTGTCTCCAGACCCGCTGGGCCAGACCTCCTGTCCCCCTAACAAGAGCCCAGGGCCATTGGCCGGCAGGGTCCAACCCACTCAGTGCATGGTAAAGAGCAGCTGAGTTCTCTTGGCCATTCTCTTACTCACTCACTGTCCCCTGCTCCAGACACAACCCACACTTCAGGAGGGCTGGGTTTCCTGTGGGACTTTTCGCTCAGGGCTGAAACTGATCAGTCTTAATCTGAGGGTCACACACACGCTTGGTTTTGACAGCATTGAAGTCTGAAATACACCAACTGGCCAATGTCACTCAAAACTCTGGATTTCTGGCACACTGGGAAAATTAGAAGCTCTGGCCACACTGGACCACTGGTTCACAAAAGCCCTGAGAAACTTCTGGAAGTTCAGAAGACACTTCCTTTCCTTGTCAGAAGCTCCCTTTAGCCAATTCCCATGATGCTCTATGACCTTTGTCTGGGGGTAACCAAAGACCTGAGGGCAGTGCACCTCCTGGCCCCCTCCCATCCTGGGTCCCCAGGGGGGTGAGGCTGGGACTAAGGAGAGGAGAGAACTGTGCTGTACCTGTTTACTTCTGGATCCACAGTGACCCGGGCCTGGAGGGATGTGAGCAGAGGATGGGTAGCCTCCTGGGTCTCTGGAAAAGAATCCCTCATACCTTAGGTTTGGGATCTCAGAGAGACCTGTTTCTACGCCACTGGGGAAGTTCAGTTAGAGGTAGAGGAGAAGAGGAAAATAGTAAGGAGGTCAGAAGGCCAGCTTCCAGCTCAGTTAGGTTCCAGGAATGCACCCTGAGCTTCTCTGAGCCTTGGTTTTCTCATCTGTGAAATGCGCCTGCCAGCCTCATGGCCCCTGGCTTGCCAGTCTGGGGCTTCAGCACTCACCGTCAGGGCGTGGGCCAGCCGTGGTCACTTCCTCCCCATCAAATGGCTCCTCTTGTGGCTGGAGGGTGCAAACGGGACCATGGAAGTCCTCAGTAAGCCCACTGTATTCAGGGAGGGATAGGCCCTGCACTGCACAGAGCCACACAACTCTATTCTCACAGTCAGTCTCTCTCTGTAAGCCTTAGTGGCCTAAGCTTCAACCCGAGACACTGCATCCCTCCCAGCCCCAACCCCCCTCATCCAGGAGACCTTCACCCTCTCCTTCCCCCAAGATGGCCTGCTAGCCTCTTATGCCTATCACCTTTCCAGGGAGCTCAGTGGGCTTCAGGAAGGAGGGAGGAACAATTGTGAAGACTTGGGACAAGCTGAGGGACAGGGAAGCAGGGCTCTCCCTCACCTCCCATTCCCCTCTAGCAGCCAGGAGGGGGCCAGACTTGGCCACCTGCCCCTCGCTCACCTGCATTAGTAGTCACTCCTTTGACACACTCACAGACATGCATGTGTGCACAGACACAAACATGGACATGCTCACTCACATCCAGACATGCGTGCATGGGCACACAAATGTGGGTGTACACATGAAGGCATGTGTGCACACAGACACAAACACACATGTCAACGCATGCCCCCGCAAATATACATGAGCACACAGGCATGGACAAGTATTGCACATACGTGTACACATGTATACAAAGATGCACTATGTAGGCCTGCATGCACCTAGAAACACAAGCATTCTGCATATGCATGCATAAACATATGTGCACATGATATCAATATCTATGTATATGTGTACACATGTCACACACATATGCACATTCACATGTGAACACGCCTGTGCTTTGGGTATACGTTTGTGGGTGCACACATGCAGCGAGACATGCAAACATGCACACACAGATGCACAGGCACAAACACATGAGTACACGTACATGAAAATATTCAGACTGACACATATTCATATACACCCATTTACGCACACTAGCATGGAGTCCTGGTGTGGCTCTGTGGGCTAATGCACCAGACTGCAAAGCTGTTTGAACTGCAAGGTCAGCGGTTCAAGCTCACCAGCTGCCCCTTGGAAACCATATACAGGGTCGCTATGGGTCAGAACCGACTTGACGGCACTTAACAACAATGTACACTGGCACACTATACACAGAAGGAAACCACAGACACATTCACGTCACACCTGTGCACACTTCTAAATATATGTGTGTGTGTGTAAACCTGCGATCCAGTTTGCAAACATCACAGACATTCCGCCCAAGGCTATGGGACACACAGGTATACATATACATGTGTGAACATGAAAACACATACGCACAAGTCCTCTATGTGAGCAGTTCCCCATTTCCTAGACATAGCCTACACAATGGCCTTTCCACGGGCAGGAATGTCTCAGCCCCTCCGTCTCCTCTAGTAAAGCTCTGCCCAGACTCTGTGTCTAGGCAGCGCTCCCCACCCAGCAGCCGCACAGGGTTTCCGAGGCTGCAAATCTGTACAGGAGCAGAAAGCCTCATCTTTCTCCCACGGAACAGCTGGTAGTTTCGAACTGCCAACCTTGAGGTTAGCAGCCCAATTCGTATCTTTGTGGGAGCAGAAAGCCTCATCTTCTGTGGAGTGGCTGGCAGCCTCGGAAACCCCGTGCAGGGTCATTATGAGTCGGAACCGACTCCACGGTACTAAACAACAACAACATAGCTGCTTCTGGAGTCCTGATGTGGTACTATAGGATAAGCACTAGACCGAAAGGTCTCTTTGAATTGCAAAGTTGGCAATTCAAACTCACCAACCACTCCTCAGAAACCCTATACAGGATCGCTATGAGTCAGAACCAACTGGACAGCACTTACCAACAGCATAGCTGCTTCCACTCTACAATGACAGAGTTGAGTAATTAACAGAAGCAGTAATGGCCTACAGGTATGACCCATAAAAACTAAATATGTATCTGTATTTTTACAGACAAACCAATCAGATTTGGGAAAGTTCTGTCAACTCTCTGGGCCTATTTTCTCATTTCTATGAGGATACTGGGCCACGTTTCCTTCTGGTTCCAACTCTCTCTTTTATGCAAGGTCCACGGGAGGCAGGTGGCCCAGGCTGAGAGTCCTGCTTCTCACCAAGGGCATATTCTCTACCTCCGCCTTCTCAGGGACCTTTTCAGGCTCCTGCTCTGGCTTCCATTCTGCTTCCGGCTCCAGTTCTGGCTCCAGCTCCAGCTTTGACCCCAGCTTATCCTCCATCGTGGTCTTCTGAGAGGTCCCCAAAGGCTGAGGCAGCACCTTCTGGACCCAGCTCAACATTCTGATCCCTAGAAGAAGTAGAGTGCTTATTACACATCTCCAGAGCGTTCACAGCTGCTCCTCCATCTGTGGGCCACTTTCATGGTTTATATATACATTTCCTTTATCTCCCATTGTCTTTAGAAATAGCTTTGCAATTATACTTCCAGGTATTTACCTTACAGAAGTACTCAAGCTCATGAGTATATAAAGAGCTTGGTCTCAAAAATGTTATACGGCAAACGATGAAAAACAACAACAACAAATACTCATCTAAAGGAGCTTGATTATTAGGAAGTACCTAAATGGTCATCTATAAGAGGGACATATGAAATAGATCTCAACACATTCATATAATGAAATCTTATGGGGTCACTAAAAGTCAAGAAGCAAATTTAGTTGAACTCACACCAGAAGATAGATATGTGCTAGAATCAAGTCATGAGCAAATCAACACTCTGTGACTTGGTTTGCTTGTCTGCAAAATGGGGATATTAATAATACCTACTAATTTTAGGTCTACCACTCATCTGTCAGTTTGTCGTACTGTGGTGACTTGTGAGTTGCTGTGATTCTGGAAGCTATGCCACAGGTATTTTAAATACCAGCAGGCTTGCCCATGGTGGACAGGTTTCAGATGAGCTTCCAGACGAAGACAGACTAGGAAGGAGTGACGAACTACTTCCAAATATTTAGTCACTGAAAACCTTATGAATAGCAGAGGAACACTGTCTGATAAAGTGCCAGAAAATGAGCCCCTCAGGTTGGAAGGCACTCAAAATGAGACTGGGGAAGAGCTGCCTCCTCAAAGTAGAGTTGACCATGATGACATGAATGGAGTAAAGTATGTGGGAGAAAGCCCGTGGGACCTTCATTTGCTGATGGGGCACAACTCAAAATGAAGAGAAACAGCTGTAAACATCCACTGAAAATCAGAACATGGAATGTTTGAAGTATGAATCTGGGAAAATTGGAAGTTGTCAAAAACGAAATGGAACACATAAACATCGATATCTTAAGCATTAGTGAGCTGAAATGGACTGGTATTGGCTATTTTGAATCTGATGACCACAGGGTTTACTATGCCAGGAATGACAAATTAAAGAGAAATGGTGTTGCATTCATTGTCAAAAAAGAACATATCCAGATCAGTCATGAGGCACAACGCTGTCTGTGATAGGATAATATCCCTGCGCCTACAGGGAAGCCCAGTTAATACCACTATTATTCAAATTTACGCACCAACCACTAAAGCCAGTGAGGATGAAATAGAAGAATTCTATCATCTTCTTCAATCTGAAATTGATCAAACATGCAATCAAGATGTATTGATCATTACTGGTGATCAGAATGCAAGGTTGGGAGCAAAGAGGAAGGATCAGTAGTTGGAAAATATGGCCTTGGTGATAGAAATTATGCTGGAGAATGCATGATAGAATTCTGCAAAAT